GGGAGGGGGAAAGAGCAGACGAGAGAGAGGGCTGCTGCGTGTGAGCAGAAAAGACTAGGGAGAGAAAAGAGAACCTCAACTAGCCGATGATGCGTCGGAGATCTCGCGCGGCGGGATCGACGAGATTATTTTTACTTGGCAAATATGGCAAATTTGAGGGCGGAAGAAATGAATAGCGACATCAACCCTTCTTTATTCACGAATACCTGTGTGTTTATACAATAAGATATAAACTATATGCCCATAGAAATACAATTTACCAATCCGAAAACGGAACTTCTATGGCTTCGCTTGGCTTAGAAAATATTATCTCAGGAAGGACTCCACGGACACTTGCCTGTGAGTTTAATTAACGGAAATCACTTAGATTTTGCGTGCTCTCCTACCCGAAACAAAGCCCTATCAATTTTTCACCTTTTTTTATAAAATTATTTTATACCTGTTGGAGTCTATACTGTTATATTGTCAACTGAAGAAATATTTAGCAGCTTCGGACGCATACAACTAGAATTTTTGGAATAAATATTTCTTCGGATTTGTGTTTGGTTTCGATGAATTTCTTCATTATACATCAAATATTTCTTCGGATTTGTGTTTGGTTTCGATGAACTTCATTATACATTTGTCCTAAATTTTATTACTTATATAAGTTATGACATCTGAATAAATTATTTGTGTTCTATAACACACTAATAACAAACTAATAATACACCAATAAGACACTAATAATACATAATAACACAATTATACACTCCCTAGCCTGCGGTATAACACGTGAGGAATATTGTTTGTGTGTTATACCGCGGGTTATAACGTCGCCCCACGTGTTATACAGCGCCCTATAACACTCCCCTAGACCGTGGTATAACACTTGATGAATATTCCCTGTGTGTTATACCGTAGGTTATAACGTCTCAACATGTGTTATACAGCCGCCCTATAACACGGGTGGCGTTATAACCCGCGGTATAACACTCGGGGAATATTCCCGATGTGTTATACGGAGGACTAGGGAAGTATATAATTGTGTTATTATGTGTGTTATTATGTGTTTTTAGTATTTTAGTATGTGTTATTAGTCTGTTATTGGTGTATTATTAGTGTGCTATTAATTTGTTATTAAAGTTTTATAGTACAAAAACAATTTATTTAGATGTCATAACTTATATTTATTAACAACTTATATACGAATAGTAAAATTTAGGACAGATGTATAATGGAGAAGTTCTTCGAAACCAAACACAAAAACTCGAAGAAATATTTCTTCCAAAAACCCTAGCTGCAAGCATCCGAAGCTGCGAAATTTTTCTTCAGCTGGCAATAGAACAGTAGTGACTCCATCGGGTGCGAAATAATTTTACTCGGGAAATTGATCGAGTTATATTTTGAGTCGGGTCGCGCGAAGTTTTATTTATTTTCTTTATTTTTTCCTGTGAGGTTGGGATTCAACGTGGCTTTCGTTAATTGGACTCTGCAGGCAATCGTCCCTGTGGAGTCCTAAGGTAATATTTTCTCCACTTGGCTTGGGTCCCTTTGACACGAGAAATATTTACTTATAGAGAACGCGCAGCTCTCCGTGCGTAATCCCCTCCCAATGACTTCTCAATAACCTCTGTGAAAGTTATTGGGAGGTTATTGCGGAGTTCTTTTGGCGTTATTTGAAGTCAATACCCTAACACCAAAGAAAATATGAAAGTATAACCGCAGAATGTGAAAGTGTAATCGCAGAGGGTATTAACTTCAAATAACACTGAAATAACTCCGCAATAACCCCTCAATAACCTTCACAGATGTTATTGAGAAGTTATTGGGAGGGGATTATGCACGAAGAGGGTATTAACTTCAAATAACACTGAAATAACTCTGCAATAACCCCTCAATAACCTTCACAGAGGTTATTGAGAAATTATTGGGAGGGGATTACGCACGGAGAGTTGTGTGTGTTCTCCATACGTAAATATTTCTCCTTTGGCACTGCTTTATTCTCCCTGTGCCGCCCGAAAACGTGTTCTTTGGTATTTGGTTATCACATCACAATGGTATTTCTTACAAAAGTCGTAAAAACACGATCGTTGGTTTGACCTCGTAGCTCACATTTATACCCCTTCAACTGTGGGCAATTTTACGCTGCGACACCTCTCTTAACCCCTTCCCTCTCCCGCGATTCTTCTACCCTAGGTGGATACCCTCCGTGGATTCATGGCTCCCATGGTTTTTCTCAATTGTGAGTTGGTATTTCGGTGACACTTTACAATCTTCTTCCTCACCCGCTCTTTCCTAGCGCTTTGATTTTGTTGGTTTTGAGTCATTTGTGCCCTGTGTGGTAGATCCCCCCTGTTTGGTAGATAACTTATGCTGAGTGGTTATTTCATATGGTGGTTATTATGTTGAGGTGTATGTTCTCTCTTCCCCTCTCCCTTTTCTTCTTCGGTTTGGTTTGGTGGTTGTGTGATGCTCTCTCTTCTTCCCTTTTCTTCGGCTCGTTTTGGTTGTCTATTTGTGATCATTGTCTTGATTTTGTTGTGTTGTGTGCATTGTGTTTTTCATCTATGTTTGCTCATTTTTTGTGGTTCTATGTTTTTCGTAATATCATGCACTTGGTTTTTGTGGTTCTTTGTTTTGATATTTCAAAAAAGCTTACCACAAACCAAAATAGCAGTGAGTTTAGTTTTTATGGTTCTTGGTTTGCTCATTTTTGGTGGTTTTCATTTTGGTATTCTTTGTTATGTGGTTTTTGGTGGATTTTTGTTAATCTGCATATTCACTTTTAGTGAATTTTTGTGGCTTTTGCCAATAGATTGGGTCCCCTGTTTGCAATGTTCCGGGTCCTCTATATGTGGTCTATTTAATTTATTTTTGTGGTTATGTTTTTGGGAATTTGGATAAGAGGTATGAACTTTGATATTTCAGAGGGGAATTTTAAATTTGGGTAGAATTTTATGATGGAACTTGGTGTGATGTGGATTGTGGTGGGCATGTTGTGTTGTGTTCGGATGTGGTGTGGTCTGTTGTGTTGTTTATGGTGTGGAGGTTAATGGTGTGCTGGTGTGGTTTGTGGTGTGGGGGTGGAAGTTGTGGTTTGGTGGTGTATTTTGTTGTGTGGTTTGTGGTTTGATGTGTGGTTTGTGGTGTGGGGGTTGTTGGTGTGGTGATGTGGTTTGTGTTGTGGAGGTAGAGGTTGTGGTTTGGTGGTGAGGGTTGTGGTGTGGTGTGATTTGTTGTGTATTTTGTGGTGTGGAGGTCATGGTGTGGAGTTTTTCTATGTGGTGGTGTGGTTTGTGGTGTGGAGGTGGAGGTTGTTGGTGTGGTGGTGGGTTTGTGGTGTGGAGGTTGTAGTGGGTTGTGGTGCGGTTTGTAGTAAGAAGATTGTGGTGTAGTGTGGTGTGATTTGTAGTGTAGTGTCAGTCGTCGAATTGAAAGTTGTCGGTCGTCGGAATGGATATCCCGACGCCATGTTTAATATATATATATATATATATAATTTGCGAAAAGTAGTATTATAAATTTTAAAAATATAAGACCAAACCGATCTCAGATCCTTAGTAGTTTAAATAAACGAGCCTAATGCCGCAACCAATGCATCTATCCCTAAGGGTAGACACACTACTTACTGGTAAGACTTGGTTAAATAAACTAAAGAAATTATGACATCTGTTTAAGTCTGCGAAAAACCATTTTTTAAGTTGACCGACAAGTTCCTTTATTTAATACGAAAAATTAAATGGAGTTTATATTACCTGGGTTCTTAAAGCTCCATATAAGGAAAATCCCTGTAGTTAATTACATCTCAAATGATTAAGGCCACGTTTATATTAAGCTGAGTTCTTAAAAGTTTCCTATAAGGCCAAGCCCCTATAGTTAATTACATCTTAAATAACCAAAGTTACCTAAGAAAAATTTTGATAAAATTCAGGGAATATTATCTTCAAGAATTCAAAGGAATATTTAAAAATATAAGACCAAACCGATCTCAGATCCTTACTAGTTTAAATAAACGAGCCTAATGCAGCAACCAATGCATCTATCCCGAAGGGTAGACACACTACTTACTGGTAAGACTTGGTTAAATAAACTAAAGAAATTATGACATCTGTTTAAGTCTGCGAAAAACCATTTTTTAAGTTGACCGACAAGTTCCTTTATTTAATACGAAAAATTAAATGGAGTTTATATTAAGCTGAGTTCTTAAAAGTTTCCTATAAGGCCAAACCCTTATAGTTAATTACATCTTAAATAACCAAAGTTACCTAAGAAAAATTTTGATAAAATTCAGGGAATATTATCTTCAAGAATTCAAAGGAATATGATTTTTCAAAAGATCGAACAAAGAGATGTGAAAGGGGAATGTCTCAAATTTGGAACATTTATTATGAAATCCAAAGAAAGAAGAACTAGGAGATGTCATGGATCCTGAGGAGAACCTTGGTGATTTCCTACGATATCCTATGGTCCGACTTCAATTTCAGAGAAAAATTATCGAATGTTTCGTCCTACAAATTTTATTAATTAGGGCTTACATTTGTTTGAGACGCTCACATAAATAGCCTGGAAGATGTGAGGATTTAGGTCGTGATGAACGAAAACCTCAGAATCCTAAAACGAGTTAGGACTTAAATTATGTAGCATGGTTATACAAAGGCCTAAAGACGAGTTGAGGATTTATGTCGCACTAGGCAGACGACCTCAAAATCCTATGGCTTGTTGTTTAATTTTAAGAAAAGATGTGTTGTTGCAGATCCTCGTGTTGTTGTAGATTGCTGCCCACAAAGTTAACTCCAAGCTCCTCGGCGAAGTAGCAGCCCTAAAGTCTAAGGTTTAAATGTTTAAATGAAAAGTTGAAGTTCAATCATTATTGGGGGGTTTAAAGTTGATTAGAGCAACATCAGTTCGGATCTCAGGATTCCCTCGTTCTGGTATCAATATTTTCTTTTGAATTTACTTAGCTTAAACGAGTTGTGAAACCCATTTAAACCGGGAAGATCTCATTAGCAACTGTGGATTACCTCCTCCAAGGGACTCTCGTAAATTCAAAAGGACGTTTTATGTGTAGTGGTTTCTTGTTTTGGTTTTGAAAATGTTGTTTAATTTTGAAAAAGTTGATTAGTTAGGTAAAGTTTATTTTTGTTTTGCAGGTGAAGTAAAATCTACATCCAAACATGTATAATATTTTAAAGCAAAAGTAAATTGTAGTAAATAAAATGACAGAAATTAAATAAAACTGTAAAGACATACCTGTGATCTTCTCGTTACTCCCGATGAAAGATTAGTTTTTCCCGCTGAAAGATTAGCTTTTGCAACATGTATATAATTTTGCATGAATTTTAAATTGCAATAGTA